CCCCAAAACCCCAAAACCCCAAAACCCCAAAACCCCTTATTATATAAGCTGGTTGGGTTTAGACTAATAGAATAATTATGATGGCTTAAGGCTTTCGATTGATGGATTTTCGAACAGTTTTTGGTAGTGCTCAGATTCTTTTAGAGACCCTATGATGTCTCTGAAGGGGAGGAGAATAGGATCGGAGTCAAGGTCTGTGGATAGGTTAGAAAGACAGTGTTCGTCGAATCTGAGGTCTGCTATTGTAGGTTTTGAAGGGAAATTGAATAGGTCTTGAGAGTCTCTGATAGAAAATAAGCATGATGAAAATATCAGCTTCTTTTCTGCCTTACATTGCTCAATGCATTTATCAAGTTGAGTTTGATCTAAGCTGAAGTTGTTTATCTCTAAAGCTTCTTTGACATTGGTACTAATTTTGAGTATTGTATCTAAGAATGAGCCAATTGGCAAGAACTCAGGAGATATTGTTCCAGAAAATTTACAGTTTTGAACTTCATCAGGAAAATACTTTTCACAGAACTCAAAGAAGCTTTCAGGGGTTTTGAGGTTAACACGAAACTCAATAAGTTTTAAGTTCGGAAGTTTGCTAGCGCAGTCACGGAAGAAAGCTTGGTCTTGCTCTGAAGACAAATTATACAAAACTCAGGATCCTTCAAGTGGGTAACTAATTTCATCATCAGAGTGTTGGCTGCCAGCTTCCATGTGCATATCAGACTTTGATTCTTCTATAGGCTCTTTCTTAGTTTCTTCACTTAAGTCTTCTTCTGAGTCCTCCTTAGATTTTTGAACATCTTGTTCTGAATTCGTATCCATATTCTATAAAGATTACAATTAAAATTACTAGGTTATTTTGTTGCATAGATGAGTCATCCCGTCGGTTTTCGGATATAGTTTTTGAAGCTTCCGAAATATTCTTGGAGGTCATTGAAGATGGAGCTTCAGAATTAGGACCGAAGCTATACTCGAAACCAGGATTAGGAGGATCCAATTTGTTTGGTGAGAGATCTTTTTGTTGAATACTTGGCTGTATAATTTTATGTAACTTTTGCGATGGTTCCCCTCCAATTTCTTTCTCCATATATGGATCAAGTTCATCCTCAGAACTTTTATGCTGGGAAAGATCTATTACATCTCACTGACCGCAATCACTTTGTAGATTAAGATCGCCCATTCCTATTGTAACACTCATTCCATCATCATTCTCTTGCTCAGAATTTTCTTCTGCGATCTCTTGATTCTTATTTTCTTCTTTTCTCATTCTTTTTAACTTCACCCCATTTGCTGGAGAATTATTTTGACAGGATCTAGCAGCTGACCTCATTGCTAGGTAGCTAAGTTCGCTTCTGCTGGAAGCCTGCTTTGTTTTATTCTCACCAACGCCAGGAACTCTCATCTCAATTTCCTTTGCCATCACTCTGAGCTCTTTAAAATCACTATCTTTGACATTGCTTTTGTTCATCTCCGAGAGCTTCTTAGATATTTTGTCTAGTTTGATTTTATAGTTAAGAATAATCATATCTTTTTCAGTCAGTTTGCTTTTAAGCCTGTTGACATGGTCATCTTCATCATCCATATATTGGCTAGACACTTTCTCAACACAAAAGGTTCTGAATAAATCACTCTCTTTAAACTTGTTCCAAAGAGGAGTTATTTTATCTTCAATTTTCTTCAAATCAGACTTATTTGAAAGAATTATTGTAATTTTTCAATTCTACAAGCTCTCGTTGCAAGTGGTTGTTAATATCATTACAGATAGCATCACATTCATCGATGTGGTCTCTAATATTCCTGTACACATAATCTTTCATGCCTTTCCAAGTCCTATCCCAAGAATAAAAAGAGTTGATGGTATCCTTTCTATTATGACTCCAAGTTTCTTCCTCAATATTCCCAAATCTCATAGGATGACTAATAGTGCTTCTGAGTGAAGATCCTAGGTCTTTACTTGTTCAATACTTTTCACTGTCTTGTTTAGACTCTTCATCTAGATTATTGCTTTGATTCATATTTGTTTGCTCGTTTAGGATTTTCAAGTTATATCTTTACATAGGGGTTTTGGGGTTTTGGGGTTTTGGGGTTTTGGGG